CTGATCTGCTCATGACCTGTCAGCTCTGTATGTCTGGGGTTAATGACCTCTGATCTGCTCATGACCTGTCAGCTCTGAATGTCTGGGGTTAATGACCTCTGATCTGCTCATGACCTGTCAGCTCTGAATGTCTGGGGTTAATGACCCCTGATCTCCTCATGACCTGTCAGCTCTGTATGTCTGGGGCAATGACCTCTGATCTGCTCATGACCTGTCAGCTCCGTACATCTCTGTATGTGCTCATTTAGTTTTCCTAAAACGCTGTAACGCCCACGGTGCACCTCCGGAAGACATGTACATGGTCTGTTCTGGAATGGCGCCTGTGCTCACTCTCCTGTGGGCTCGGGCTGCTGTTAACGAAGGTGTCAGCAGTGCTAGAACATGCGTGTGTTAAGTGTGGCGTGTCGCCGTGCGTCTCTCCACTCCTCACCGCGGTCAGCACGCCGGCGCTCAGCGAGAACCCCACGGCCCAGCTGCCCGGGTCGCCCCCGTCCCGCTGCCGCCTCTCCTCGGCTGAGAAGATGGTGAAGACCAGCTGGAAGGTGGCCAGGACCTCCATGGCCAGTGCCTGGCCTGCATTGGCCTCAGTGGACACCTGGAGAGCACAGGACCCACTCGTGAGCACACAGGGACAGAGCAGAGGAGGCCCTCTCTCCTAACTCACCTGATCAGCAGTGTGCTGGGGTGAGTGTGCTGGGGGTGAGTGTGCTGTTCTCACTCGTGAGCACACAGGGACAGAGCAGAAGAGGCCCTCTCTCCTAACTCACCTGATCAGCAGTGTGCTGGGGTGAGTGTGCTCGGGTCAGTGTGCTCGGGTCATGACCTCTTAGCTCTGTATGGCCGGGGTTAATGACATCTGATCTGCTGTTCTTACTTGTGAGCGCACCAGATCACACCTAGCCAGTGACACAGAGATCCCAGGGAATCGCTTGACACAGGTATGACAGGCATTTTCTTCCATACACCCACCACTCTCGGTGTACAGAAGTAAAGCTTCTGGCCTCTTCTGAGTCCTCTGCCTCCATTCACCTCTCCTACTCCCACCCTGCCTCCTTTCACACCTCTTTCTCCCTGACCTTGCTGACGTAGCACTCCGCTGCAGACTTCACAGGAAGGGCCAGGAAGAGGACGCCAGCCCCCAGCGTGGCCCCCACACACTGGCCCAGGACGTAGCCGGCCGCTCTCAGCAGGTCGAGCTTGCGGGTGGCCAGGAAGGCCAGCGTGACGGCAGGGTTCACCTGAGCCCCGCTGATGTCCCCGAAACACTGGCCCAGCCCCATGGCCACAAATCCGGCCGCGAGGGCCGGCTGGATGGGCCCCACTTCGCCGGGGCCCGGCACCGAGGAGCCCAGCACAGCCGACACGAAGATCAGGGACCCCAGGACCTCCGCCAGCACCGCGCGCCAGAACTGCCGGCTCCGCAGCTCCTCGGAGAGAAGCAGGCAGAGAGAGAAGAGCCCCTCAGCCAGCTGGTCCTGAAGCTCACTGACAGCACTGCTAGAGCAACACCCATCAGAGTGAACAGATCACACAGCAAGATCTCACCCACAACACAACACACTGAGCAACACTGTCTCACACACAACACAACACACTGAACAACATTGTCTCACACACAGACAAAACACACACTGAACAACACTGTCTTACACACAACACAACACACTGAACAACATTGTCTCACACACAGACAAAACACACACTGAACAACACTGTCT